AGAAATGCTTGAAGAGCAAAGCTTAAAAGCAACACTGACACTACCCATTGCCTGTCAAAATGGCCAGAATTCAGGCATGACAGAAAGGGTTGGGAGGCTGCTGTGCCTCTAGGTGCTTAGACTACATACCTGCAGCATTTTTTTTTTTTTTTAGGTAACATTGTCTCTTTAAAGTGTATGTAAACCCCCATAATGGATTTTTCCTATTTGCTTCCTTTTGTGTGTTATGAAATATATGAAAATTGAAATAACTTTGTTATATTCAGGTCCATCCCTACAATAAGGAAGCCAGAGACAGTTGCCTCAGGCAGCATCTCACTGGGTCACGTGGGCCTTTCTGGCCAGAGCGTCCCAGGTTGCTAAGAGCTCTTAACAACCTGTAATGCTCTGGCCCGCATCCCACCCAGCTCATTGACGTCATTGAGCAGAGACGTCAGTGAGCTGGGCAGGACAATGGACAGAGGTATTGTGTGAGAACCCCCCAAGTAACGTGCATTGTCAACATAACCCCTGGGTATTGTCCACCACCAGCACACTCCCCCGTCTCAGGCAGAGAGCAAAAGAAGTTATCAGCTCACAAGAGTATTTTAATGTACTTATTGAATAGCTATAACCAGGGGTGTCCCTACACTTCTTTTGCTCTCTGCCTCTGAAGACAGTAATCAGTTAGCATTGCTCTCAGATCCCTATGGGGAATATGAAAGACCCCTTTGTATTGGAGATAAGGAGAGGGGGTGTTCTGTAGCTCTAACACACTTCCTGTCCTAGGGTGACAACACTGCTTATCCATAGATACAATACAGCGAGTAAGCTCTGTCACTCTAGGACAGGAAGTGTGTTACTAGCAGGATCACCAGCTGAACATAAGGAACAAAAGCCCCACAAAATCTAATGCAGACATCACTACAAGGCTGCAATCTATTACATTTTTGTTTCGGGGATTAGATATGCTTTAATCACAGACTTCTCACCTGCGAAAATCCCTGTGTGTATACTATACATACATATTTATTCACATTCTTACATTGTCGCCGACCTGTGTAATAGTTTGGCATGAAATAGGAATTATCAGCATTTACATTTTCCCATTACAAGCAATAAGAAACACAAGGTGACTTTCTGCACATGCTTTTTAATCACAGTTCTTCTCTAATTGGCTCATTTCTACCATAACAAGATGCCATGGTGGGTAAGTGGCCCACTAGATGAGCAGAATTATTATTTATATTGCAGATAATATTTATTTATATGCACTAAGCCGCTCCGGGCAAGAAAGAACATAAACAGAATTTAAAGGAGTAAGATTCTGTGATGCAGAGCAGAAAAGTGATTTTATTACAGATTTGTCCAGGGTATTTTCAGTTTTGTAAATTAAAGCTCAGCCTTCACTAATTATAATGTAGATTCAGGCCGAGATTAAGTGCTAACATTGCCTTTCCTAGGACCAGAAATCTCTATGCTGTTCCCTTTTATAACATTAAAAGGATTATAGACCACATAGCTAAAACTAATGCATTTTGTATCAGTGGTACAAGGATGTCAAGAAGCAAATTGTGATAAACATGAACTATGCTTATTTGCTCAATTTCAGTTTGTTAAAGGAGAAGTATTGGGAGCAAAATATACTCTTTCCAATACTTAGAGGCGGCGTGGGACACTGCAGCTTTGACACACTGGGGTTGATTTACTAACCTTATAAACACACCACGAACGTGTATACACCTCTGCAGTGTGTTCCCTCCCAGCATGATCTATGGGTGGAATCTAAACACCTTTGTAATGTGTACACACCCAGCAGGTGTGTTGTGCAAAGCCCTGAAGGAATTCCAAGGTGATGTTGGGTAAATTAGCTCTATGTTGTGTTGCTTGCGTTGATGAATGCAAGGAATGTAAATGCATGAGCTAACCATTTTTGTCTAAACTGTGAAGCAGCATTATATATGCATCATGTGCATGATTTTTCCATATATGGCATTAGTGGAAATATGCTTTTAGAGACTTTTTGGTTGATAAATACGTTTTTCTGTGTGAAAATCACACACACCTGGTGTGTGTGTGTGTTTAGGTTAGTAAATCACCCCCACTGGCTCTGTATACCAAGAGCTAAACAATCATGTAACTGGTGATCACTAGACATGTGCGATTCGGACGAAAATTCGGAATTTCAGAGATGCGGATGTATGCGAATTACAGATATTACGAATGCAAATGAATCCGAATTTCCGATTCCGAAAATCGTTAGCGGTAGTCTGTACGAATTGTACATCCTTTGACATCCTCTGCTCACAGACCCGAATGGCATTCAGGAGATCACAGGAGGATGTCAATAGCAGGAGATGTCATTTTGCGGCGAGTTTTCGCCGGGTTCGGACTGTCGTCGTGCGGCGGGGCTTTTTTTATTTCAGCGGGTCGGCGGGCAAAAAGTAAATGAATAATCAAAAATTGTCTCTGTTTTTTTTTCAATTAAAGGATTTGATCAAAAGTCTGGACTTTTTACTAACTATTTGATTTAACCCTTTAGTGAATGGGTAGGGGTACCCCTTACTCATTCACAAGGGGCGGTGGCATCTGGGTGCCCCTAATTAAAGGGGTACCCCGATGAAAATACGCACCTTCGCCCGCAGACCCCCACAACCACCGGGTCAGGGCTGTGGGGAAGAGACCCTTGTCCCCATCGTCCCTTGTCCCCAAGAGGCCCTTGTCCCCAGAGGCAGGGAGGGGGTGCTCGATCATCCCCCACTTTCCTGCCCTGCCTGTGCTCCGATCAAGGGTCTGGTAGAAATGTTAGGGGGGACCCCACGTTTTATGGGACGTGATATTGATTTTGGGGGGAACCCAACGCACTTTTTTTGTTTTATCTTGGGGGGTTCCTTCTTTAATTCCTATGAATTGGGGGAGAAACTCATGCTTTTTTTTTCCTCTTCAGCATACAGAACATTTTTTATTTTTTTTTCTCAAATGTCACTGTGATGCAACGAACGCATGAGACGAAAACGAAACGACAATTCGTACAGACCACCGCTAACGAATTTCGTCCAAATCCGATTCCCGAAAAAAATCGACTTTCGAACCTGAATACCAAAAAAATGAAATAATGCAAAATCCGAATCAAAACGAAACTAAACAAATTTTTTGCCGGTACACATGTCTACTGATCACTCAGTTCACGGCTTCTTCCTGCAGACAGTGGTAACTGTCAGTCACCCCCTCTCTATTCCTCCAGTGCACATTGGAGGGACAGACAGGAAAGGGGGTGGGCACGGCTGGCTCTGGCTCAAGAGAGACAGAGCCAGCTGTCAATCCGGCAGTCGGGTGTATCCCAACAATATTGTCAGGAACCTTCCTGAATGCAGTGTGGCTCTTACTAATGTAATCCTGTGACCCAAACTTAGCATCCAGCGGGCTACTGCCATGCTGCAGACAGGAAGATTCCCGACAATATTATTGGGATACACCCCAATGCCTGATTGACAGCTGGCTCTGGCTCTCTCTAGCTGTGCCCGCCCCCTCCCCTGTCTGTCCCTCCAATGAGTGTTGAAGGAATAGAGAGATTAGGGGGGGGGATTCTTGCAGGGAGAGGTGACTGTCAGTGTCTGCAGGAGAAGCCATGAGCTGAGCGGTCAGCAGTTTGTGATCGCTTGTTTTTGAGCTATACAGCCAGCGTGTGACAGCTGCAGTGTTATTGCAGTGTTATTATTTTTTTATTATTTTTATTTTTCCTCATTTTTTTTATACTTAAACTATATTTTTATTCGTTTTGTTCGGTAATTTGTTTTAGTGTCATGTATAAAAGAAACAGATTTAAAAAAAAGGACTTTATTTCATGTGCAATGCCATGTGCCAGAATCTTAATTTTAGTGTGATTTTAAACAGGGCAAATAATAGAATCAAATTTATACTTTTTTACCTACATTATAATTTCATTTAATTACAGTCTTTTTTTTTAAATAACGCTGATCAAAATAGAAAAAAAGTGCATTTTGTTTAGTCATATTACTTTTTTTGTCTATGAAATGCATTAAAAAAATCATTTTGCAAGACAATATTACCAAAAGAAAGCCCTGTTTTGATTTACTAATGCACTCCTGTTACCCAAACTTAGCAAATAGCAAGCTACTGCCCGCTATATGCTGACAGCACAGAGCAGCGTTGCACCCAGGAAATATTGTCGGGATCCACCCCGCAGCCTGATTGACAGCTGACTCTGCATCTCTAGTGCCGGAGCCAGCTGTGCCCACCTTCTCCCCTTGCTGTCCCTCCAATGAGCGCTGGAGGAACTGAGAGAGGGGAGGGAGGAATTCCTGCAGGGAGCAGTGACTGACAGTCACCACTCTCTGCAGGGAGAAGCTGTGAGCTGAGCGATCAACAGTATGTGATCGCTCAGTTCTCAATCTATAGAGCTGACGTGTGACAGCTTCAGTTACAAACGCTGGCCCAAAGTATTGGGAGGAATATATTTCACTCTAACAAAAGTTCTCCTTTAACTATTTTTAAAGACCCTGTCAGGTCCCTAAGCAAATACAAATGTCACTTGGTATACTTGCATCTAAGGCAGGCCATGTCTTCTACCTCCCTATGAAAATAATGTATAGTGCGCGCAACACATGCACTAAATAGTCTGCTGGCTCCTGCTGCCTGCCTTTTACAAGCCAGAATAGTGAAAATCTGCACAGGTATGAATCTCAGGTATGTGCTTAAATGTATTATTTTACGAAGGAAGTTGTGAGGGGGTGTATCAGGGATGTTTTAAAATAAGCAAGTGTAGTTATCCTTAAACAGCTTTAAATGGCTGACAGGTTCACTGCATTATTTACCCATCATCTCAAAAAATCAATCCTATCTTCCCTGTTCATGTTTAATGATCCTGTTACCAAAGGCAAGAGGACTTCGGTTCAGCCTCAGCAGTGTCCAGCCTTAGCCGTAAGGTCATTATTTTCTCTAAAGACTAAAAATGGCAGAGCTTTCCAAAGTCGTACTGACTAAAATAATGAGCAACTTACCTGTCTCCATGTATTTCCACAGTCTGAAGTTATATACATCTCTTCCTTATACTCCACCAGCTGTGAACCCAAGTTACCTAAGTAGGAGAAATGATAACACTGAGTACTATTTAGGTATAATGATACTGTATCATACATCCTTAGAAGAAAATCCCCTCTCTTGGAGGGATTTTCTCTTACTTCCTGTTGTGGCTGTTAGACAGGAAGTGCAGGGAAATTTCACAGATGGGACACATATGGCAAAACAATAAGTAGACGGGCTATAACCCTCCCTTACTATGTCCAAAACTACAACTGGCTTCAGTTCTGGGGGAGAAGTTCCTGGTTACTTCACTTGTTTGGACTAGTACCAAACATAGGCAATTTCAGGTCAGTGTTTCAGAAATGACTAAAGCCAAATGGTCCGCATCAAAGATAGTTAAGGTCAGTGTTAGGATCATCTCCTTTTATCACACAACAAGTTTACTTTAAGCTCCTTGAAGAGTCCACAGTGTTGCTTATATAATACATCTGAATGTGATCAGAACAGCGATCCCCTAAGGCAGGGATAGTCAAACTCCGGCCTTCCAGCTGTGGTGCAACTACAACTCCCATGAGGCATTGTAAGACTCTGACAGCCACAGGCATGCCTCCCGGTGGCAGATGCATGATGAGATTTAGAGTTTCACCACAGCTGGAGGGCCGGAGTTTGCCCACCGCTGCCCCAAGGGATGCAGAAGTCTCACTGACTCCTGCATACGCCTGTTAGCACTCACTTAGAGTTAAAATAAAAACATTTCTAAATTAATTGTATATAAAAATAAATGTTTCAAAATGACCAATAAACATAAATGGGGGCGTGTTCTAAGAAAACCTACCAGCACCCATGATAAGGCCCGGGGCTGTGTCCTTGGTGTGGACTGTTCCAGATACATACGGATTGTCTGCCCATCGCAGATGAAGGTGAAGGTGACACTCAGGCTAATAAGATACAAGACAGAAGAGAGAATAAAAATTATATTGTAGGAAATTATCATAGAAAGAGCTGATTAAAAGAAAACGAAGTGTAACATTAATATAATTGTACAAAATAAAAGACGAAAGGTAAAGACCAATTCCAGCAGCACTACCTAATGTGCATGGTTTACTGTTACCGAAATCCAGACCACTAAGTAATTCAGTATTATTCAGCGGGGTGCTAGCAGAATACTGGGGACAATTATCCTTAACCTTTGCAGTGGGGCTACCTCCGCACTGCACCGCTCATTTTTGTCTATGTTCAAAAATAACAAAGTTATACTCACCTTATCATCCGAGCCTGTTTGCTCTTAGACCAGTCCCTTCCGCTTGTTTCCTTCTCCACTGCAGCGCTGGAATATCCATCAGTGTCCTCGCGTCTTATACACAGTGTATAGAACATGGGGATTCACTGGACCTTAGACTGCTGCAGCGGAGGGTAGCGAGACGAAAGGGACCAGGGACCAGGGAAGGGACTTTGTTATTTTTGAACCTATAGACAAAAACAAGCACTTAACCCTTGAAGTGCAGGGGTAGCCCCACTGCAAGGGTTAATAATAATTTTCCCTGGAGTTCTGCTTTAAGGTCTTAGTGGCCTAAAGGCTTAGGTAACCTTTCTGACCATGTTTGATGTTACACCCATATTTAGGGTGTAACTGAAGCATGGTCAGATCAAAACCCCCGCAACCCCCACTTCCCTGAATTGCAGGGTTCCTCTCCTGGGCTGCTGTGTACCTTGAATTTGGCATGGCTGTGCATGGCTCCGCCCACACATCCACTTCCTTAATTTACAAATGAAAGTCCACAAGTCCAGTCCCATCAGCCACCGTGGCAGAGGGACTTATAGTTCTCAATGCACAACAAGTGCACAGACGTCAATTGTAGTCCATTGACACTTCTTCCTCCTTCCTACCTAGGGTTGCCACCTTTTCTTCCAGCAAAACCCTAACACTCTAGCGACGCACAGAAATGTTTTGGGGAGAATGAGTTGCGGCTTATTCATATGTAAATAGCGTCACCCATTCATATGTATATATCACAGTCAAGACTATTTTTAGTAGGGGTCCAGTAGCCCCTATCTTAATTGTGGTTACCCCTGTCTCCCTGACATCTTGTGTCCGGGTTTCTGCTGCCATGAAACCCGGACACAGCATTCAAAACCCGAACTGTTCGGGTGAATCCTGGACAGGTGGCAACCCTATTCCTACCTCTGTATGGACATGGGTGGGAGGAAGAGTCTGCAGGAGCCAGAGCATTGCACCTGCAATCTAGTGATCGCAGATGCAATGCTTTACTGGCTCCTATGCAAGATAATTATAAATGGACATAGTTACATAGTTACATAGTTACATAGTATTTGAGGTTGAATAAAGACATTAGTCCATCAAGTCCAACCTATTAGGATCTCATTCTAGGAGTACCTGTACCCCTGTATATTACCTGTACCCCTGTATATTACGGTCCCTTAAGAAATCGTCCAAAAGTTTCTTGAACAATTCCACATTATTTGCTGAAATCACCGCCTGTGGCAGTGAGTTCCAGACCCTAACTGATCTTACTGTGAAGAACCCCCTTCGCCCCTTGTGCTGGAATTTTTTTTCCACCAATTTTAGGTATTATAAAAGAAAAAATGACATTTTTTCTTTTATAAAGACGAGTGCATTTATTTTTATTTTATTTTGCAAATTGTGGAATTTCCCTTTAAAAGTGAAAAGCTTTCTAAATGCTTGCTAAGAAACCTGGTGAAATCTGTGCTGAGAGAATTATACAGGCTAGCACAGCTGACTTCTTAAGAAATGCTGGTTACATGGCTGTCATGCCGATGCTTCAATACTAGAATATCAATGCAAATCAGTGTGTTGACTTTCCTGTCTACATGCTTGTTCTGGGTGACTGAGTCAGAAAGAATTAAGGCAGAGATAGCATTAACTCAGCATTAGTAAAGGCAACCTACATAAGGCCCCATTCACACCGCGGCAGTTCGGCTGCACGGATTTGGTCGCCTGGACCTGCCGACATGAACGATCCCATACATTGCTATTGCTATTCATGCGACCGCGTGGCTCTGCGTGATCCGTACCGCCTCCCACCCGAATTGCTCCCTGGCCCTTTTTTGCCGCGCTGATCAGCACAGTTTCCATACTGCTTTCAATGGAACCGCGCTGTTCAACACAGTTTTAGCGGTTTTGGGCCTTTTTAACGGTAACGCGCTGATCCGCAACCGCCTTGGTGTGAATGGGCTCTTATTCCCTTTCTGTTTCCTTCACATGGCTCATTAAAGTTCACTGAAGTCTATTTCCATTATAGTAAGATTATATATAGAGTAAACATCTGCATTTGGCTGCTTTCTGATTTACCGGTTTACAGTTGGTGGGCTTTCCATTCATGTCTAGGCTCGGTGGAGCCAGATAGTCCCAGTCGCGGCCCTTGTTGTATGTGATGAGTGTTGTTACTTTTCCATCAATTTTCTGATTGGCCAGAAAAACCCCTTTAATTCCTTTGACCTGAAAAATATAAAACAGAATGATTATATTCTAGAAACAAATGGGTTTTACTGTCCAGGGCGAGGTTCGAACCATCCTGAACATACACTTCCCATCTCCATCTCAGACATATTTCACAACCAAGTTCTATTGGGAGGTGAGTACACAGAGTATGATCATGGTCAGTTTTACTGGACTCTGTAAAGTGCAACAACCTTTGTGAGATGTTTTTTGGTATCCTCTCCCAACAAGACCATGGGGATACTGCTGGGAGAGTTTCCAGGCATGAAAAACTTGAAATATAATTATTTTATTTATGTGGAGATGAGCATTTATGTAACTGACTGGGATAAAAGGTTTCTTTATAGTGTCATGCACAAAGTCAGAGATTTAACTCATGTACAAAGGTTATACGCAGGGCAAGTGCTGTTCGCATGGCATTTGAGCCGCTAGACCAGGGGTTTTCTTAAGGGACCATGTGAGAAACTGGGACTGTTGTTGAGGGTCGAACCAAAAGGATGAACTTAATTCTGGGGCACCACCTGGTTGTAATGAGATCTACAGCGCCACAATGCGCGGTACCGCAATACTGTGCATTGTGGTATGGTTGAGCGTAATTATATACCTCAATTTATGTGGCAATAAGGCAGAATTAAAACAATGTTTGTACATGTATGTTTTTAATGTAATCTTTGATATTTTATGAAATTGAGGCCAGTGGACAATTCACTATTCACAGTTATTTATTGTTTCTCCAGCGGCTTTATCCACAAATTATCATACCGTGCATCAACGACTGTTCTACCAACACTTTCTATTGTTCGCCTTCAGTAAGTGCCCCTTTATATATAAATATGTAGAGCGTTTGAGTGCTGCTTGTAGAGCTGTACAAGTTAAATTATAGTCCCTGCTTCTAAACTGGAGGCTTAAGGAGGCAGGAGGGGGAGATTTAAGACAGCTTTACTTCTTCGAAGCAAAAAAAACATATGCAAAACATAGCTGAGCTGGAATGGGAAATATAGTGGTTTAAAAACCTGAACAACATATTGATGGGAGTTTATATTTCACTGTATGTTGCCATAAAACAGAGTCAGCCTCCTCTAATGGAATATAAGTATATGTCCATGTGCAGTATACTGCATCTGAGAACAAGGCTGTCATTCTATTTTAAAGCAATCAATCAAATGAAGATGGGGGAAAAGAGTCCCACTGTAAAAAATACTTGTGGGCTAATTTATAACGATTGACAAAGTTATTGCTTCTTATTTTATTTTTCTTCTGTTTTGCCCTAGTTCACCACTAGTTTGTTGTTTTTTAAGTTTATAAAAGAGGGAAATAGAAAGTGAAGAAAAATTATGCTGAAGTAAAAAAAAATTAAAGTGGAAAAAATTGTTAAAAAAACTAATTTTGTAGACAGTCCCTTCTGCATACTTACTCCACTGAAAATGCTGGATTACACCCTGTCATGTTACACATGCTTTGTGCTATACCTTTAAATATTATTTGCTTTTTCTGTCTCTGGTATTTGTCTCCACACCTCCCCATAGTCCAGGTTTTCCTCTGTGTAGATAGCTCCACCCTTCTTCATTATGTTCCAGTCTGCTTCTCATCCACATGTCCATTGCGGAGTGGATCACATTATGATCTACTGACCTATCCAATGTTCGATGTTGTAAACTTCTCAACGATCTTTAAGGTGTCATCTGGATTGAGGCACTGTCTGCCAACACTTCTGAGATTGTGAGTTATTGCTATCTGGCCACAATTCATGTATCACTTGCTCCTCCCTTTTAGATCAAAAACCCTCACAGGCAGGGCCCTCCTTACCATCTTGTATCGAATTTTATTGTAACTGTAATGTCTTCCCTATATTGTAAAGCGCTGTGCAAACTGCTGGCGCTTTATAAATCCTGTATAATAATAATAACTCTAAGTTACAGAGATCACACGTTCAATGCTTAGACTGGAGAAGTAGAACACACCTAGTTTAGGTTAGTGTATAGTATTGCAAAAATTGTTTGGTAAGATAAAGGGGGGAAATATTTATAAACAGGAAAATATATGTAAATTAGATATTTTCTGTGCAAAACAACATTTTCCACCTTTGTAAATTGGCTTTTCAAGTGGACTTATCATCAAACATATGTTTCCATCCTAGGTGCATGCATGCTAAGTATTGTGTAAGTGTAATATTTGCAAGTATTTATTTGATCACAATACACCCCCTGAAAATGCCTTCATCTGCTTTCTTATCGGGACATGAACATTTTTGTTCAGGCATCATCCCGGGTCAGCATCCACTTTCTGGACTGAGATGGTGGTTAAGAGTGTTCTGTAAACCCTGGTACTGGTGCAGTTCTTGGCTGTGTTCACAAATGTCTGACAGATCATCCCTCTCTTTGTATAACTTGCTACATAGTTACTTTATATAGTCTGACCATGGTGGGGAGAAGCGACCGAGGAAATGCTTCCTCTTACCTGCTGCAGCAGATGGATGACATCATCTCAGCCTAGGCAGAGTCACCTGACTAGAGATCGAACACCGCTTTTTAATGATAAAGTACTTACCACTTTTATGTTATGGTCTCTCTCTATATTGTACGTCAGGAATTTATTCATGCAGACCTGTAGAGTTACTCAAAGGTCAACTTTAAAGCATCATTAAAAGTCACACAGTGATGTCTGTAGTGGGCATGTGTAGAAGAGGCAGAAACCTTCCAGTAGATAAGGCAGCTCTATCCTTTATTTGCCAGTGTAGCTCTAGGCTTAGTGATTCCATTTGGGTGGGTTTCTTTTCCTGGATCCTCAATTCCATCACACAGCGGCAGCAGGAAATGAATGGTGTTTTGGTCCACTGACTGATCTTGCATAAGGTAAAATGAGGGACCATGTGGCAGTCCCACTGCATGGGAATAACAGCCCAGTTAGATCCTAGAAGGAGGGAGCACAGCCACAAACTTCTATTAGGACATCTCACCCTTGATATCTGTGATCCAATGCTCTCATGCCCATCCAAATCTGATATATTAGTTTCAGATAGCATTACATTTTAACATATAGCTGATTTTGAATGTTAAATGTGGTGGTGTATGTTTCAGTGTAAATCACCTTCCCAAACTCAAGCTGGTGTGCTTGAAAGACCATGTCACTTTGCCCATTCCCCCCAAACCAGTGATACTCTCCAGCAATCCCTTACTGCTCTCTTCTCCATCACAGCTGACATAAAAATACTAACAGGGTTATTCACAAAAGGGGGAAGAGTTTGGAGAAGGCAGGAGAAGTGAACAATCTAGGACAAAATAGCTGATTTGAAACAATTCTCCAATTCAGCTCACTTTCCAAATCAGCTATTTTGGCCTAGATTGTTCACTCCTCCTGCCTTCTCCAAACTCTTCACTTTTTTGTGAATAACCCTGTAAGTGTATCAAGTCCAGGTCTAAGGGAGTGGTGATGTCATCCACTCCCATTATGTGACAGTGCTTGGGCCTAGCATTTGGCCATTAGACCCAAGAACTGTCACATTGGAGGAAGTCACATGCTCCTGCATGCCCAGAAGCATCATTATTTTGTCTCAGCTGTAATTGAGGCAAAGGCGTCAGAGGATTGCTGGAGAGGTGAGTATTAGTGGGTCAGAGGGATGCACTCTTATCTAGTTGAGGGTGATGTCACTGGGTCTTTTGATAGGATCTTATTAAAGCTAAGGGTCCAAATGTGAAAATTAAGGAAAAAGGCCTATAAAATCCAATGCAGTCATTACATTTAAGGGTTGGTAAGTTAGTGTTTTTTAATTAGGGGTGAAGGTGCTGCAGGTTAAGCAGACTTTGCATTTTCATAGAAGGTTTGCTTTAAGCAAAAATGCCATAACGTATAGTAAACAAAAAAAACTCTGGATTTCATATTACACACACAAGCTGAATAGGTGATTTGACTCAGCGTCATCTGGAAATTTTTACATGCCGTTTGTTTTCCTGTGGTTTAAACCAGGGAGCCAGCCTAACTCTAGCTCAAACACACATATTTTAATCACTCAAAGAGGTTTTGCAGACTAATCTGTTTTTAGGTTTCCTGATGAAAAATTGGATTCTGGGTTTAAAACATCAAACTGTTTCTGTAATCTGCCCTATTCCCATGTCTCTTAACCTTACATTCTGTGTTCTGGAAGTAAGGATGCTGTGCTGAAAATCATGCGGACGTTGTAAACTGTATCGTCTCCGCGGGGTATCTTTAAGAAGAATAGTTTATACTTCCACAGATTCAACACAGAAACAAAAGGTGCAGAGTTGAAACTTTGAAATGGCTTGGTTGCTGTGAGGCAATACGGGCAGTTCTCATTAAAGTGATTGTCAGGTTTAAAATAAATTTAGATTAAAGCCCATTTTAAGGAAAAAAAAAAAACTTTTAGGTTTAACATGTTTTGTATACATTTACCCAATGCCAGCCCATATTTTATATTTTACCAAAAAGATGGGCATTTTATTGTGTTTGTGTGCACTAAAATTCTTTTTAGTATATTTTCCCCAAAAATATCGATTTGATAAATATTTGTGCCACATAAAATATTGGAACTAGCATTATTTTATTCTACAGGGTCTCTGCTTTCAGAAAATATATAATTGTTTGGGCTTTTAAGCACTTTATTGCCCAAAAAAAGGTAATTTTAACATTTTTGTAAAAAAAAAGTAAAAATTGTTTCAGTAGTTAAGCGGTTAAGGTGTCTTTATATTATAAATTACATTTTTTTCTTAAGTCCAGAAGAATAAACACTGTCAAGTTTTCTTGAAAAGGGTGCTTATGTATATTTATAGCAAATTAGACCTGGAACTCATTAAGCACTAATGGCCTTGATTGTGCACTGTCAGCATCCACATCCACTGTTCGGGGTCATCCCTGTGCAGGGCATACGGCCGCTACAGGAAGGAATCTGGAGCACAGCCACATAGTAAAACTTGTTCTACTTTCCCTGTTGCAGTTTGTGGTTTTGGCATACAGTAAAGAAGAAGAGCATGGTCTGGGATATAGTG